TTTCAAAATTTGATGCTAGTATATAAAAGTATATTTGTACATAAGAGGAAAGTTTTTCACTTACATGCTATCTTGACCAAATGAGTGGAGTTTGATAGTAATCCTTACTACATGTAAGGGGGCAGGGAGGAGAAGTGGAAGAAGGAAAAGAGGGGGATGAAGGAAAAGGAGGAGGAAGAGGGGGAAAATATTGTATTTTACACCCAAGCTGAATTCACGCATTAGTTCTAGGAGCTTTTTCTGTAGGTTCCATGAGATTTTTAAACTCAGTCACATCATCTGCAAGTAAAGGCAGTTTATTCCTTTCATTTCAATCTATATAAGTTTTTCTTACCTTATTGCATTGACTAGAGCCTCTAGTACATTGCCAAGTAGAATTGGTGGGAATGGACACACTCAGTTTCTGATCTTAGGGGAAAACATTGTTTTTCAACACTAAATGCTTTTTTTTTTTTTTTTTTTTTGGTAGATATCCTCTACTGTTCTGAGAAATTTTCATGCACTCCTGATTTCCTGAGAATTTTTATCATGAGAATGCTGAATTTTGTCAAATGCATCTATTGAGACAAACACATGGTTTTTCAGTATGTTTAATTATATCAATTGATTTTTTCAAATGGTAAACCGATCTTGAAGTCCTGGGACAAAACCCACTTAGTCATGATAATATCCCTTTTGTGTATTTTTAAATTTAATTTGCTAGGATTTTGTTAAGAAATTTTGCATGTTTATAAAAGATATTAGTTTGCACTTTTCTTCAAAAGTCTTTGTCATCAAAATAATACTTTCTTCATAGATTAATTTCTGGAGGGTGGATTTTGTGTAGTTTTTTCATAGCATTCACTTGCTGTCTTTTTAATAACTGTAGAATTTGTAGTAATATCACCTCTCTCATTCCCAATATTGGTAATTTGTGTTGCTCTTCTCAAAGAACCAGATTTTAGTTTCATTGATTTTCTGTATTGTTTTACCCCATTGATTTCCTGCTTTGATTTTCATTACCTCTTCTCTTTAATTTGCTTTCTCTTTCATTTGATCTTTTTCTGGTGTCTTAAAATGGAAGTAGAGTTTACTGATTGGAGTTTTTCTCTTCTGGTATAGTTTAATGGTATTCCCTGGCATACTTTTCTGTAAATGCTGTGATGGTTGCATTCCTCAAATTTTGCTGTTGATTTTTGTTCTGGTTTTGTGATGATTGGTTAGAAGCACAGTTCAGGTAAACAAAAGTTTATTATATTCAGAAGTCCTAGAAACCAGTGGCATGTCACATCATGAGCCACATGGGGAAGATACACGGTGGTCAGTCTGTAGAAACTGGAGTAAGAGGAAAGTCCAAGAGTTTTTCTTAAGAGTTTTCTTGGGAAAGGCAAGATATTTCAGGGTAAACATTTTACGATTGGCTAGTATGAATAATTTTGTTGGGCTCTAAACTATAGTGGTGGTCCCTAGGTGTCTGGCACCTGGCACTAGTATGACTAAGAGGAATATTGCTTCCTGAAGTGTGTGGATCAGACAGAAGTGTGGCTCTGGGATTGGTCAGTGTGTGTGTCTGACCATGCTAATGTCTGGCCTGCTATGGCTAGGCCTTCACTATCTCAGAGTAAGATGTCAACACATAAAATATAGAAAAAAATATAAACAATACAGTTTTCATTTTCACTCAATTCAAAATATTAATTTCCTGTTTGATTCTTTCTTTAGAACTTTATTATTTTCCTTATTAGGGGTTTCCAGAAAAACAGAACCAATGGAGTACATATAGAAAGACATTTATAATGAGGGACTGGCTTACGTGATTATGGAGGCTGAGAAGTCTCCACAATCCGCCATCTGCAAGCAGAAAAGCCAGTGGGTAGTTGCATTCCAAGTCTGAAGGATCAAGAACAAAGAGAACAAATTATGTGAAGTCCCAGTAGGAGTGTGAAGGCCCAGTGCCAGGAAGCTGATAATGGAAGCCTCAGCCATGCCAAGAGGCAACTCCATCCTTCCTCTCCCTTTCTGTTCTTTCTGGTTTGTTGAATCATGCCCATCAACATTGGCAGGGAAATCTTCTCTATTTAATCTATCAATTCAAATGCTGATCTCTTCTAAAAATACCCTCACAGACACACCAAGAAATAATGTTCTACCAGACATCTGGTCACCCCTTAGCCTAGTGAACACATAAAATTAACCATCACATTTTCCAAATATTTAGGAGGTTCCCAGAGATGATTCTTTATTTTTAATTGGATTCCACTGTGGTCACAGAACATAACTTGTATGACTTAAATCCTTTTAAATTTATTGGGACTTATAAATGGTCTGAAATTGATTCTATCTTTTCAAATGGTCTGGGTCATTGAAAAAAATTCTTATTCTGGTATTATTGGTGGAGTATTCTACAATTTTCAAGTCTTTAAAATATTTACTGATTTTGGTCAACTTATTCTAGCAATCTACTGAAAAAACTCCTAGAACTAACAAGTGAATTTAGCATGGTTGTAGAATATGGTATTGAGAAATAAAAAATCAACTGTTTCTATACTAGCAACAAACATTTGGAAATTTAGAGAATATAAAGGACCTTGTGCCAGGTGTGGTGGCACATACCTGTAATCTCAGGGGCTCAGGAGGCCAAGGTAGGAGGATCGTGAGTTCAAAGCCAGGCTCAGCAACTGGCAAGGCGCTAAACTCAGTAAGATCCTGTTCTCTAAATAAAAATACAAAATAGGGCTGAGGATGTGGCTCAGTGGCTGAGTGCTCTTGAGTTCAATCCCTGGTACCCCCTACCAAAAGGAGCTTGTTCCACAGTAGATGAATAAAAACAAATTAGGACTTGGTTAACTATTTTGAAAGGATTACTACAAGGGGGGACCATTTCATAGGGATTTATGTCTGACTAAAGAGTTAGGCAAAATGGATTTACTTATAGGGAGGAAGAAACAAGTTGAAAGAGGGTTAGAGTTAGGCATGGTTGTACAAGCCTGTAGGCAGAAAGTTTGAAGCCAGTAACTTAGCAAGATCTTATCTCAAATTTTTAAAAAGGGATGTAGCTCAGTGATAGAATGGCCCTGGGTTTGATTCCCAGTACCACAAAAATAAAAGAAAAAGGATGACAGGTAATTAGGGTAACAAACTGGGTGGCACTGTCAGATCACATAATGATTTATTCTGAAGGCAAGTCTATTTTCAGGAGGCAGAAGGTGGGTCAAAATTCGGGGGTTTGAGGAAAGAAGAGAATCTCCACCAAAATTTGGTTTTGATCTAATTAATCAGTGGGGGAAGACAAGAACTTTTATCATCTATGAAGCCAAGAACGGGAATTCAAAAGGCCTGTCTAGCCTTATCTCAAGGTAAAAAAAAAGGGGGATGCCTGTGAGTCTTACATACAAGGAAGGGTGATTCTCTGCAGTAAGTTTTTTCCCAGAATTAAGGGGAGCAATTGGGCTGGGGTTGTGGCTCAGTTGGTAGAGTGCTTGTCTCATATGTGTGGAGCACTGGGTTGGATCCTCAGCACCACACAAATAAATAAGATAAATTAAAAAAAAAAATTTTGTCTATCTACAATTAAAAAAAACAACAGCAATTCCTTTAAATGTTCCTCCTTTGTGTGTGTGGTGCAGCGGATTGAACCCAGGGCCTGTACACGCTAGACAAGTGCTCTATACTAAGCTACACCCCCATCCCTACTTTCAAGGATCAGAGGGCTCAGGTAAAAATCATCATCATAAGTCAAGAAGTCAGCAGTCAAGAAATCCATGAGCACAAGAACAAGAAATGGGAAAATACAGAATGTATGTGATAATGTTTTGAATATTTCAAGAACAAGACATGACATGACAGACATGATTGAAGATAATGGGTGTTTTAATCAAGTTTGAACATCTGGTTGCCAGCACACCAGGGCTGCCAGGCAAGCCCATAGGGCTCAACATGCCTGCCTGTACACAGAACTGTCTAGCTGCCCAGGGCTTTCTCTCCTTGCATATGGGGGCTACTGCAATCTCCTGGGATTCGCACGGACAGTCCTACCTGCCGGGCAACACCAATGCCTGACCTGACACTGAGAATGTGCTTGTTTCCAAAGATCAGCTCCTGAAGTGGAATGTGGAGAAGGCAGCCCTTCAAAAGTCCCCTAATGTCAGACACTGTCTCCTCCCTGGGCAGGGTCTGTGGCTGCTTTACAGAGCACAGTTTAGGTGTGCTGGCGCTGGTAACATAAAAATGGAATGCTGCTGTTGCTATGGCTGAGCTGCAGGACCTCCACAGTCACTCTGGAGGCTTTATTTAGTGCAGGCTTCAAAACTTCCCAGGTGTGAACACTATTTATTGTTAGAACAGCTTCCTTCTCAGAATACAAGTTTTTACCTTGTGCATGCCTATCCTACCTTCCACAAAACAATTGTGCTCTGCCTTTCTTGTCCTCAACACATTTTCTTTCACATCAGGAACAAGACAGAAAAGCTCAGACAGCTTTAAGAATAAAGGAACTCACCATTTAGGATTCAAGGGTTCTAAAGTGTCCTTAGAAGAACTCAACCTCCTAGAATATCTAAAACATGTTTTGGGGGAGAAATAAGAGATGGTTCTCTCAGACTGAAGCACCAGGAGCCCTGTACATAGAGGCTTCCAGAGGAGGTGATGGCTTTTAAACTGCAGGCTTTTAACCTGGAAGGCCTACATGTTGTGGGTATCTACCACAAACCAGCCCATGGAGCGCAGTGAGGGCCACAGAAGAGAGCTGTAGAAACCAAAGCCCCAAGCTGATACACCAGAACACACAAACAGGGTCCAATGCCAACTTCTCAAGTCCCAATTCCATCAGGACTACCTACCTCCAAGATCCCCAGGCTGTTCCCCATTAACACTTCTTCCATCTTTTGGTGTGTATCCCCAATAGCTCCCTAGGGATATGTTTCGCCTTATTCCTCTATGCCTGTTACTAAGTAGGTCCTCAATGGAGCCTGGTCATGTAGATAAAGTGACAAGGCAAAAAAACACTTCTTCAACAAAGAGGATGAAATGTTCCATTTTGTTTATTTAGCTGAGCATCAAGATAAACATCTTTTAAACAGTACAAAAATTTTTTTTAATATTTATTTTTTTAGTTGTATTTAAACACAATATCTCTATTTTATTTATTTATGTGGTGCTGAGGATTGAACCCAGGGCCTCTCACGTGTGAGAGCCACAACCCCAGCCCCCAGTACAAATTTTTATATACAGGAATGACCCATTCCCAAACAAGTTTGAAAAAAAAAAAAAATCAAAAAATAATCTTGCCTTCTTTTTTAAAACCTGGGTGACACATGAAGGCAGAACCAAACCTCTGTGTTGATTTTCTTCAATATGGTCAGCAGATACTGAGTTTAGATCAGTTTGGCTGGTGCTATAGTAAAGTACATAGACATGGAGAGAAGATGTTACACTGAAAAATCCCTTTCCAATGCTGGGACCAAGCATCCAGTCTTCAACCAAGTAACCTGGGTAGGTATCATTTCCGAAAGCGCTTGAAAAGAGGGTGCACGTGCTTAGTGGAAGCTTTGCTTCGGGATGAGTGGTACTCCATGTACACAGTGTCATCAGCCCCGGACATAGAGCTCATGGTGCCAAAGCGTCGGGATGCCTGCGAGGCAGAGGAGAACCCAAGCTACAGTTATTCTCCAAGAGAAAAGACTCATTTAATAAATTTATAATCAAATTCAATATACTTTATTATTTTTAAACAATGTTTACTGGTCACTGTGTCTCAGGCATCATTCTGAGCATTTTACATGTATGACCTCATGTAGTCCTTATAATCATTATAAACCTCATTTTACAGAAAAGGAAATGGAGGCCTAGAGATTGAGTAACTTGTCTAAGATCACACAGTTCCTAAGGAAATGGGACTTGAACACAGGCAATCAGGCTTGAGACTCTTGTTCTTAATTAGAATGCTACACTGCTTTCCTTAATGACAACTTCAACAGTTTCGTTATTTTAAATCTCGCTGGGATATCACAAAAAACTTTGAATCAAGGAAAAAGCCAAAAGCCCTGGGATTGACTCATGGCCCCACCTCTCACTGGAAGACGTCAGGCAAGTACTGAAAGTCCATGCCTCAATGAACATATCTGTAAAATGGAGATAACCACATCTGCCCTGACGGATGAGGTATAAACAGAAATCACAGAGGTCAGGGGCTTGGCCCAGAGCCCAGCACACCATTGAATCCATGTTACAGGGGAAATATGCAGCCAAGCACTGACTTCAAGGTTAGGGCTTCACCTTAGGGCCAGTGAGAACCACGGAGACCAAGCTTTTCTGGGTCTCAGTGTAAGCTGCAAACCTCTGGCAGGAGGACGTCTTAAGCTGAAGGAAGAGCAGCACCAGCTCAGATGAGAGGTGCTTCCTTCTTACCTTGTTACAGCCACTTGTCACCTTTTGGCTTTAATACTAATTGAATTTCAACAGCATCTGACTCAATTGCCCTTCTCTCCTTGAAAGGGCCTAATAACAATTCTCCATGACAATGCTCTCATTAATCACACCACATTACACTTACCTGGGAACGAAGCAGGCATTCAGTAAATTTAAAAGAACTCTAAATTTTTCAAAATACATGTTGAAGCTATCATACAAACTGATCCTCAGACCCATCTCCCAGAGTAGAAGGCTCAGCTCTATCACTATGGAGGAAACCAAAAGCGAGCTGACTTGCCCAAGGCCAACAACAGGCACTGTCTTGTCACTGCCACCTCACCCTCTGCCCCCATAGACTGAGAGGCAGAGTCTGGAGTCACCTGTTCACCTTCCTGGGCTCCAACACCAATATACTAACAAATGCTCCTGCCAGACTGTTAGATGAACAAGCAGAAGATGAATCACAGCCACTGAGAGTTCAGCCATGTTGGACAACATATATTCAGGAAGGGATGTGCACTACAAGATTAATCGGAGTTGTTTCTATTATTCTATTCTCCAAGTTTTTTTTTTTCCAAGTTTGTCTCCAAACCCCCCAGCCCCTGCCCCCAAGAATGTGTGCATATGTAAGTGGCCATACTCCAGCCTCACCCACTGGCTCACCTGGCTGGACTTGGAGCCAAACTCTCCTGCCACTACCTCCTCCTCCGCATCCAGGTCAGTGGCCGCCAGGACTTTCTGTAGGAGCTGCTGTTGCTCCTCCTTTGTGGAAAATGCCAACTCTTCTTCCTCCATGCCAGCAAGCTTTGTGATCACCTGCAAATTCAAAAGCAGATGCCTCCCTTTCAGTTATCTTCCCCTTGGCACCACTCAGCCTTCTCCCAAGTCCACTTCTTGTCGCTTCCTTCCCATAGACACAGCCAGCCAGGTGGCCAATGGAGAGGCTCCTCTCTGGTGTTCTAGAGACCAGCTTCAGAGCTGCCTGTAACAGCTACATTAATGACTCCAAGACAGAGATGAAGGAATTACAGAGGAATCTCTGCTCCCAGTGCAGAGCATTTAATAATCTCACATAGAAGATCAACAGGAACCCTAGTAACTGTAGTCCCTCAGTAGTCTTCCCATATTGAACCAGGTAAGGAAGGGAAACCAACTAAAGTTGTGCCCTTTGACAAGGATCCTCCACCCTGCTATGCTTGGCACCCAGGGCTTCCAGCAGGAAAGCACTTAATAATTTCAGGAACTGAGAATTTATTGGACAGATATTCTCTAAAAAAACAAGATGACAGTATGATCGAAAATGGGTTTTCACATCTACAGGGATAACTTACTATGAGACTTACCTAAACCTGCAGAAAGCCTGGGCTAATTACGTAAAGATAACCCCTTACCTCCCTCTCAACCCACACACACACTCCAATTTTCTGCATAATGTAAAAGGAAAACTTCTAGAAATAAGGATTTTAGTCCTTTAGGTGGCCAGACATCCAGACTACAATCAGTGGGACATATCTGCCCTGGCACGATGGCTCAAGGTCACACAACCCAGAGAACTCTTACTGGCTGCTCTGGACAAAGGTAGGTTGGTCAACATAGATATCATGTGTACATGTACCTGCCAGGCTAGCCTTTCAAAGAATCAGAGTTTTCTTTCTGAGTTGGCATTCCTGTTACCCTGAGGTACTGCAAGGACCAAGAGTTATGAGTGCTACTATCAGCATGGATGAGGGGGTTGGGTCACGATGCAAATCTTCTAAAAAATTGGGATCAAAACCCAACGTGTCCTGTCCTCTAGTCAAGCCTAAGAGGTCTGAAAAGTGTCATTGCCCCTGGCTAAAAGAGAAGCCAGACAATCTTGTCCTCTAAGGCTAAACATGGGAACTCTCCAACACACTAAGAGACACAACTGAAGGCCGGGGGTACAGCTCAGTGGTACAGGACATGCTTGGCATGCATGAGGATCTGGGTTTCATCCTTAGCACCAAGAGGAATTTTTTCCCCCTGCTTCCAGAACCCTCCACCACCACCCACAAAATAAAACCCTTTGGGACACTAAATCCTAACACAAACTTATAAGTTATGTAAATGGGAAAGAAAGCAAATTACCCCAGCCAATGAAAATTAGCCAAAGCTTTAGTAATTCCCAAGTTATTTAAAGACCCAGTTTATGATATGGATGGTTCCAATATCTGGGAAGATGCTGGGGCTTATCAGCTGAGAAAGTAAAGACAATCCTAGACAACAGAAGCGGCACCAGTCTGAGAAAGGAACCCTAGGAGGCTCACTCTTGTACAGGGCTGGCCACAGCGCCTAGGCACCTCACTGTGGACAAGCTACCACATTTCCCATATTTCCCACCAACATCAGAATGCTGTCTCCAGTAGTTTGTGCACAGACAAAGGAGTTTGAGGCAAAGCCTCTAATACCCTAAGGCTCTCTGCCTGAGGTTTGTCTCAGGCTGGTGCCCCCACTTCTCCTGGAGGCCAGAATACCAGAAAGGCTTTGGTCATGGTTTAGCCAGAGACCTAGTGGATACATACCTTGAAACTATAACCTTGATCTACCAAGAATCTCTGTCGCTTGGTAGAGTAAGCCATTTCCTGTGTGTCCTGGGATACCAGTGAGTAGAAGAAGGCATTGTACTCCTCTGCAACCATCCCTGCAGGAAGAAGGTGACAGAAAGTAGGGAAGAAGAATGTTAGAATGCCAGGAGCTTTAAGTCCCAGGCTTGGAAGCAAGCACCACAGTGAGAAACTTCTACAGGCAAGGCAGAAAAACTCGGACTTTTCCCCATGGGACTTCATCAAAATTAAAGCCTTCTGTGCCTCTATTGAGCACTATAAGAAACTAAAAAAGAATCCACAAATACCTGCAAAGCACATATCTAATAGGGTCCTTGCATCTAAAATATATCAAGAACTATCACAACTCAGTAAGACAGATATGCCAACTATAAAATGGGCAAAGGATCTGAACAGACATTTCTCTAAAGACAATACACAAATGGCCAACGAACACATCAACACCATTAATCAGGGAAATGCAAATCAAAACCACAATGAGAGGACTGAGGTTGTGGCTCAGTGGTAGAGCACTCGCCTAGCACACACAAGGCACTGGGTTCAATCAGCACATGCGAGGCACTGGGTTCAATCCTCAGCACCATATTAAAAAAATAAATAAATTAAATAAAGGTATTATGTTCAAATACAACTAAAAAAAATTATTAAAAAAAAAAAAAAAACACAATGAGAGCCAGGCGTGTAGCACATTCCTGTAATCCCAGCAGCTCCAGAGGCTGAGGCAAGAGGATCATAAGTTCAAAGCCAGCCTCAGCAAAAAGCAAGGCACTAAGGAACTCAGTGAGACTGTCTCTAAATAAAATACAAAATAGGGCTAGGGATGTAGCTCAGTGGTCAAGTGCCTCTGAATTCAATCCCCAATACCCAAAACAAAAAAACACAGTGAGATGTCATCTCGTCTCCACCAGGATGTAGAATCAGATAATCACAACTGTTGTCAAGGATATGAAGAAAATGGAGCATTCACGTACTGTATAGTGGTGCTTTGGAAAAAGTTCCTCAAAATGTTAAACACAGTGTTATTACCACATGATCCAGCAATTTCTACTAAGTATATATCCAAGAGAACTGAAAACATCCATACAAAAATTTGTATGTGAATTTCACAGTAGCACTAAGAGCCAAATATCAGAAATCACCCAAATGTCCATCAACAGATAAATAAAATATGATATGTTCATAAGTGGAATATTAATTGGCAACAAAAAGAGAATGAAGTACTGATACATATGGGTAATCCTTTTTGTAAAAAATATTTTTTTCATTGTCAATGGACCTTTATTTTATTTTTCACTTATATGTGGTGCTGAGAATCGAACCCAGTGCCTCACACATGCTAGGCAAGCACTCTGCCACTGAGCTACAACCCCAGCCCCTGAGTAATCCTTTTGAAAATATTATACTAAGTGAAAGAAGTGAGTCACAGAGGAACCCAGTGTGATCTTTTAATGAAACATCCAGAATAGGAAAATAGAGACAAAAGTAGCTTAGTGGTTGCCTAGGGCTGAGGGATTGGGAGCAAGGGAAATGTGGAATGACTGGTAACAGATAAGGGCTTCTTTTGGGGGGTGAAGAGAATATTCTAAGTGTATGTTGTGGTATGGCTGCACAACTTTGTGAATATGCTAAAAAAGTCACTGAACAGTATACTTTAAGAGGATCACAGGTGCTTAAATCCCTGATTAAAAACAAGCCAACAAAACAGCAGTTCAGAGAGAAAACCTCTAACCAGGGACAATGAGGACAGAAACCAGGACAGAAAATACTAAGGCCTGAAAGATCTGATTCTTCAGGAAAATCTGAACATTTCTGCTTCACAGTTCAAATATCAGGAGGTTAAGAATCTATATACTGCCTTTGAATTCAATGGTTTCTCTTAGAAGAGCTGACTGTCCAGGAAAGAGTATACTCCCTAGGCCTCTGGGGTTGGGTGCTAGGATCCCCCACTATTCCAAAGGGCTAGATATCTTATGCCAAAATATTTTGACTGAGAAAATACAATTCTAATCAAATTCAAAGGTGTTTTCAAATTAGCTTTGCTTTTTTTGTATGTGAGAGAAAGAATAAGGATTGAGTTATTTTCACATTTGCTAACAGACTATATTCAGTTAATAAAAGTTTATCAAGCAGTCTACTGTATTCTGTTTTATAGGCTCATTTCTACAACAGTCCAGCAAGACAGCACAATCACCCCCACTTTGGATGGAAAAACCAAGGTTCAGAGGGGCTAATAATGTACGTAAGGTCACATAGCTAATCTGGAGCTCAGTCCATGCTACTTTGACTATCTGCCTTGCTTTTATTTATTATATAATCAACCAGCTGCCTTAAACATTCTTAAATACAATATAATTCCAACTTATGTCCACTAATCTTTCATTTTCAAATATCCTAGTAGTTCAGGTGCTTCCTGGTTTGATAAGAAAATTCCCTGAGGACAGGGCCTATTTCCTTGTCTCAGGATGTGCCTGGTCCCAGTAGGAAAGAGGCAGCCACATCTCAGCAACATCTGTCCCTGCCATGCCCATGGCTCAGGTCTGGGTCCTTCTGCTGTAGTCAATACACACAGGAAGCCCCCTCACTAAGACTGCTTAGCTGAGAGCACACTCATGTGAACTGCAGGCCACTGCCATGGAAAACATCCCCATGTTCACTCCCATGGTATGAAAAGCGAGGACCATGTGGCTGTTAAACCTTGCTTTGGGATTGCCTCTCTTCAGGGTCTTTCTGGTCCTGGGACAAAGATTGAGGCACTGAACACATTTGTCGTTCATCCCTCCCTTCCTTAACCAAAGTGGTTCCAGAGGAGACTCTTCTCCACCCACAGCAGAGGAGGAAAAGCTGCTGTTACCTTTTTTGGCTCGAAGCACCCGTCCTAGCCTCTGGGCCTCCTGTCGCCTGGAGCCACCATGGGATGAGATCTGAATGAGGACATTGGCTTCTGGAAGATCAAATGATGTGTCACCTACCTATAGAAATGAAGCAGCTGTAAGCTTAGGAAGGTTTTTACATCACACACACACACACACACACACACACACACAAAATCAACTGGTTCAGAATTTTAAATTTTACTTATTTATTTTTGTATGCTGGGAATGGAGCCCAGGGCATTGGGCTTGTTAAACTGTATTCTACCATTGAGTCACATCCCTAGCCCTGGCTTATAATTTAAATCTGCTCTGTAGATCATTTAAAAAAACACTCTCCTCTCCATACAAAGGTCCTTCTGATACAGAGAAAAGTGAAGTGGTGGACCCCCCCTGAAGGGTCTGCCTCTCTAGGACCTTGTGGGTTCTAACAGCACCGAAAAATTACCGTGGCTCAGCAAGGCTCACAGTGCTGCATGCAAAGATAACACAGACTCACGTCAATTTTCGTACTTTACTGAGGTCATGCAACTCCTATGAAGAGGAGCTAGTACCCAAATCAATTTTCTTGTTTCTATGGCTATAGAAATAGGTCAAAATCATCTGATAATCACTGAGACCAGCAGCAGCACCTACGAGACAATGTGGCCTGGGCCGCTGCCCAGCACGGGATTCTAATTATGGGCAGGATGTCCAACTTGGGAAGTTGGCCACCAAAGGGTCACCACAAGCAGGGTCTAATGCTCACTTTCCTATCTATGATCACTCTACAGAGAAAATGCACTTCTGGGTTTTAGGTCTGTCTTCATCTGAATGACTTTTAAACCATCAGACCACAGCTTCTGATAGTAGGAAAGAACTTTAGTTCCTTTCCTAGGAAATACAATCTAAAATTCCTACATCCCAAGAAGAGGTAGGAAGAATCTCTGCTAAGTGAAGAGCCTTTATAGATGACACATGAAAATCCTAATGATCCCAGACCCTGGGCATGTAGGAATAAAAATGCACAAGGGAATATCTTTTGATTAACATGAACTGACTGTCCAGGAAAGAGTATACTCCCTAGGCCTCTGGGATTGGGAGCTAGGATTCCCCCACTATTCCATGTGCCACACAAACCTTGGATATAAAGATGGTGTTGATTTTCGGGTTGTGCTTGAAATTCTGAAGAATTTGCATCCTTTCTCCCTGGGATGTAGGCCCATAGATATAGGGTCTAAAGAAGAACACAGATGTGTTAGAAAAATCACAGAATCATACCTCAGTTATCCTGAAAACACAGCAGATGGAAAAAATAAGCTTAAGCAAGGTCTTCTCTGAGAGGAAGCCCTAGGTCATGTCCACTGGGATATGAGACGATCCATGACAACAACTAGCTACAGACCCACCCCTGCCAGTCTTCCCCAAGAGCCCCAGCCCGACCCACTCTGCTTCTAGGCCCAGGCCCACCACCCTCTTCAAGATTCCCTTTTTGACTTATTTATTTCCTACTATAGTTTTTCCTCCTCCAACATCTGTCACCCTAGGTAAAGATAAGCTTCGATTTCATGAAGCCTAAGAGAAGCAGCAAAGAAACAATTCTACATCCAATCAAAGGCTGAACACAACATTCTCCAACGTCACAAACAACCTCTAAGAAATGAGCAGAAAGTAGAAAAGGGCCCTTCAACCTTTTCCCCACTGCACTCACAGAATACCAAATTCAAAAGTTTCTCTTCAGTTTCTAGCTCCTTGCTCAAGGGCACAAGCCTCTGGGAACCTCACTGGTCATTGCCTATGGCACCTAGGATGGTCATATCCTTGTCTTCTATATGGGAATGTGCTGGTAGTCAGTTTCCATAGCTTCTCCAAAACTCTAACAACAGTAATGATGATGATAACAAGCACAAAGAAGACAGGAATAAAGATCCAGGGCCTACTTATATCAAGCACTGAGCTAGTACTACTTAAAAAAAATAAAAATAACCCACTCATCATTGCCAATATCCATCAGAATTAAAAAGGTTAATGTTCATGTTCCTCAATCTACACAAAAGGTTCAGGGCCAGAGCTGGGTGAGATGGTGCATATCCCAGCAGCTAAGGAGGCTGACGCAGGAGAACTGAAAGTTCAAAGCCAGCCTTAGCAACTTATTGAGGCTTGCACAGAAGAACTGAAAGTTCAAAGCCAGCCTTAGCAACTTAGTGAGGCATGAAGCAATTTAGCAAGAACCTGTCTCTAAATAAAATACAAAAAAGGGCTGGGGTTGTGGTTCAATCGTTGAGTGCCCTGGGTTCATTCCCTGAGTGCCCTGGGTTCATTCCCTGGTATCAATAAGAAATGAAAAAACAGGAGCCCAAGGGAATGGAGCCCAGATGTGGCTATCTCATGGCCAGGCCCAATGGTGTCCAGGACAGTGCCTGGTAAGGACACAGGATGCACTGCTTTTGCCACTCTGTGCAGTGCCACTCAATACCCTACAAGATGATCTCAGATGTACCTGAGAACAAACCCTTCAGCCACACAGAGGCTGGGCAGAACCTGGGACAGCTGAACACCCAGGCTGACTGCCACAGGATAACCTAGACATAAGCTGCCTCACCTGACACAGAGAGTATCAGGGTACCACACAATCCATCATTTTCTGTGTGTCATGGAAAAAAGCTTGGGAAGCCACAAATCTGTCTTGCTCAAAGTGGTGGCACAAGCATGTAGTTCTAGCGACCTACCCATGGGGCTGAGGCAGGAGGACTGCAAGTTTGAGGCCAGCTTCAGCAACTTAGTGAGACCTTGTCTCAGAATAAAAAGTACTGGAGATGTAGCTCAGTGTTCTTGGGTTCAATCCCCAGCACCCCTCAAAATAATTAATTAATTAATTAATTAAATTTAAAATAATTTTTTAAAAAAGAAGTTTGTCTCCTCACACCCAGATTTTTAGGGAGTTATTTTACTATTCCTCCACCACCAGGAAAAAACTTCTCACACAATGGTGAGTTCCTCAGTATCTGAAGGTTCCCCCCATACAGGAACTGGAACACCTAAAGGGTAACCACCCTCCAGGAAAAGAACCGAACATTTGGAGAACCCTTTGTGAGATGCCAGGCATTAGAAATCCCTGTGGTAGGGGCTGGGGATGTGGCTCAAGCGGTAGCGCGCTCGCCTGGCATGCGTGCGGCCCGGGTTCGATCCTCAGCACCACATACCAACAAAGATGTTGTGTCTGCCGAGAACTAAGAAATAAATATTAAAAAAATTCTCTCTCTCTCTCTCCTCTCTCTTAAAAAAAAATATTAAAAAAAAAAAAGAAAGAAATCCCTGTGGTAGCTCCAAGTGACCAAGAAATAAAAGGAGGTTCAGAGAGGTGAAGTACTTTACTGAGGTCATGAAACTCACATAAAGAGGAGCTAGTACCCAAATCAAAGTGTGTCTCCACAGATGATACTCCACAATATCTCACACTGCATATACCCTCAACAGTGTCTCCTGCAACTGTGCGGTGACCCCATTCCTTTCTTTAAAGCTGGAAGAACCCCCTTTACCACCACTGGACACATCAGGTTGTCCATTGTAAGTTAAGAATGAATTCGCAGAATCATTTCAAAATCAAGAAAACAGGACAAAGAACATTTTGACTTTTTTTTTTTTTTTTGGAACAGGCCATTAAATCCAGGGGAACTTAACCACCAAGTCAAACCCAGCCCCTTTTTTTGGTGGTGGTGGTGGTGGTGGGGTAATAAGGATTGAACTCGAGGGCACTTTACCACTGAGCCACATCCCCAGCCCTATCTGGTATCTTATTTATAGACGGGGTCTCACTGAGTTGCTTAGCGCCTCACCAGTTGCTAAGGCTGGCTTTGAACTCTGTGATCCTCCTGTCTCAGCCTCCCGAGCGACTAGGATTATAGGTGTATACCACTGTGCCTGACCCTTTTCTACAGTTAAAAGCCAGATATTAAAAAAATTAAAAAAGAGAGTTATTAGCAAAATTTGTAATTATTCCATTACACATGAGAGAGCCACATTTGGCTACTTCTCCCTCTGTCAGGCTGGTTTAGCACTGCCAGCACCAGCTCCAGGCAAATTAACATCTCTGCCCACAGGCTCAAATGGCTGCAGTCACAAACAAGCCTTGGGTGTTTCAAAATAGGTGTGGGGAGGCCACCTGAAGAAGTCTCCAGATGAGCACTGAGGGGGGTAGAGGAATATACTTATTAAACATAGTAAATGTTGACATAGTAAACAGAAGCACTGTCTTGCTGCTGCTCTTGAACTGACACTAATTTGACAGTAAAGGGCTAAAAGGACAAAAACCCACAACAAGAACAGAAGAAATAACAGCAGATAAGAGCAGTGGGTAACATCTTGGAAGCTGAAAAGCAGATGGATGCTGGTACAGTGACTAAGCTAACAGATTAGGGAAAGCAGAAGCTGGGCTGGCAGGAGGGAAAGTCAACAGAGAACAAGCCAATTTTCTGTGCAAAACACAGAAGAGTTCAAGAACTGGTGCCCACTTGTGCTGGAAGGCGAGGTGGCAAGCAGAATGGCAGACAGCAGGCCTGGGAGTATGGATAAGGAGCAGAGACTCAGCCCCACAGCTGGCATGATTCCCACAGCAGGCTTCAGGCGAAGCCTTCCTTTCCAGGATTTGAAAAAGGAAGGTCTATACTCAGGACATCAGCAGAGTTGAGGGCAAAAGCGAGACAGAAAGTGAAGCATGAAGGTTAAAGCATCTCCTCAAGGCTAAGACTTCACAACCCCATTTCCTCTATTCCCACACACTGGTACCCAGGGGTTGGAAAATTTCCTTCCAGAGAAAAGATTAGACCCCAAGAAAAGACCTAGAGATACTGACTTATATCTTATCAATCTCTGGATAAAACAGCCAGTGCCTGCCTGATCATTCTGTAGGGAGGTCCATCTCCACTAAGACATACAGAATGGCTTGTCACCTTTTTAGTGACTGACTCTCAAATAAGAAAATGCAGCCACAGATTACAAAACTCTGAAAAAAGACAGAAGTTAAAAGAATCAAAGCAAAAAAAAAAAAAAAAAAAAAAAACCCACAAAGAGAGACAGTGCAAGAAAACAGAAGGAAGCTTCAAAGGCTTTTATAGACTGAAATAAGAAGACATTATACTCAAATAAAAAGAAAAAAAAAGTTATTAGCAAAATTTTTAATTCTCATTTCATTACACATGAGAGAGCCACAGTTGGCTACCTCTGTTATTAAAAGTTATTAATAGGGCTGGGGATGTGGCTCAAGTGGTGGCACGCTAGCCTGGCATGCACAGGGCATTGGGTTCGATCCTCAGCACCACATAAAAATAAAACAAAGATGTTGTGTCCACCGAAAACTAAAAAAAAAAAAACTCTCTCTCTCTTTAAAAAAAAAGTTATTAATAAAGAACTCTTGCGTGCTGGGGTTATGGCTCAGAGGTAGAACGCTTGCCTAGCATGTGTGAGGCACTGGGTCCGATCCTCTGCACTACATAAAAATAAAATAAAGGTATTGTGTCCACCTACAACTAAAAAATAAGTATTTGAGAAAAAAAAAAAGAAGAACTCTTGTTACCAAGCACAGTAGTGCACAACTATAATAACAGTGACTCAGAAGACTGTGGCGAGTCTCTACAACTTAGCAAAACACTACCTCAAAATAAAAAATAAAAAGGACTAGGGATATAGGCCCCTGGGTTCAATCCCCAGTACAAACAAACAAACAAACAAAAAAAAACCTCTCAGAAATTAACAAAAGTTCCAATAGATGTGTTAGAAGACAAAGGGATAAAAATATGAGGAAAAAGATATGAAAATGGGTGAAGTGGTTCAGAAGATCTAACATCTGACTGATAGAGATTCTAAAAACAGAAAACAAAGAGATGATGATTAGCAAAGAAAAGGAGAAAAAACCTCTCAGAACTGAAGGACACAAGTTTCCATACTGAAAGGGCCTAATGAATGTCCATTACAATGAAAGAAAAAATACTGAACTAGGTATAGCATTTTGAAATTTATAAAGAGAAAAAAAGAGAGGGAAAGATCATCCTATCTAATAGAAGAAGGAAACACAAAGACCACAACAGACTGCAAACAGAGGAACTGGATGGCACCAGACTCCTGAGCAGCCACACAAGAAGCTTCAATGTAAATAAATACCAAGGACCAGCCAAACTACTGAAGGAGTTGAGTAAAGACATATACAAGTACTCTAAGTCTTAAAAACCTCAAGAATCTAATGGAGCATTTGCTCCAACAAAATAAGTGACTAAGAAAGAGGAGACCTGAGACTAGGACATAGAGGTTCAACACAATTAAAAAGGTGAGGCCCAGGATTATGTCCAAGGGAAGCCCAAGATGACATCTACTGGTATCCCTAGTCCTAGGTAACAAGCAAGCCAGAACAGAGGCGGAAGAGGAATAATGAATCTGACCAGGTAAAGAGAAAAACCAGAACTTAGAGATTACCTGACACTATTGAGAGGGAGCTTCTGGTTATGTGAAAAGTTTGGAGAAGAGTAATCAAGTGTATAGAAAACTACACAAAAGCAACAACTAAACAAATTAAAAAAAACATAATCATAGTACATTTACATATCTCTATCTGAACAATACTTATACAGTCAAAATGACATAGCATTGAATTTTAATTTAATCCCAAACTTGTGCCATTACTGTATTGGGAGCATGGTGGGAGAGAAAACAAAGAGGTGGGGTGGAAAGTGGTGTTTATAAAAAAACTACACCCTCAACTCCTATAGTAGCAAGGTAGTAGGCAATTCCTGCTATTGATAATCCAGAAATTGCTGCATAAACTACTTAGAAATAAGAAGGTAAATGAAGGGAAAAAAATAAATATTCAAAGTGGCTGCCTTCAGAGAACAAGGTAGAAACAGAGGTACAGAGAACTATTGTTTTTCATAATAATCTAAATGTTAACTTGGATAAAAAAAAATACCTTTTCTAAATCTAAAAAAAGTACAATTTTAGAAACTTGAGAAATCTTAATTTTTCTATGCCTATTTTCCAATCCATACAATAATACATCATATGGCTGAGGTGAAGATTGAATCATACATAGATACAGGACTCCTAGCACACAGCTTTCTAGGAAGAAGCTGGTCTATATTCGTTCTCCTCTATCCACCACCACAAAAGAATTAAAGACCTGTCTCCAAAGAGAACCTCGTCCTTTTGTGGCAGGAAGAAACACAGGCTTCCTCTTTCTTACTTGGCAGGAATTTTGCCATGGCAAGGATGTTAAGTGTAGGTGTGGGTTGTGATTTGGTGAGGATGTTCAGGGAGCAGTTCCCAAAAAGTTCTGGTTCAGATACTAATCCACACCTAGAATGTTGACCCAGCCCATCCTGCCTTCCTTCCTTGCCCCTGAACCATACAGTCTGGCCTTAACTTCCACCTACAGTGCTCACTTGGCCTGAAACTCCAGACACCAATTCCCATGCACACTTGGAGCCTAGATCTGAGACAGTGCCCACCCAGCACTGCACAACTCTATGGCCCCTATTCTCTGAGGTCAGGGTAAACAAGCTCCACCTTCCTATATGTTCTAACTTCCAACTCTGACCACCTTCTTCTCTGTCTTGCCTGGCTCCTGGGACCAGGGGCAGAGAACCAGACCTACAGATCCCAAGAAATAGGCACCTCTGCTCCTCTCAGTGGGGAAGATAAACTGGCCTGGAGGAAACTCCAAGGTTTCAATTCTTACTTGTTCAGTCGAATGGCATATTCCTTCAAGGCAAACACGTTGTCAGCAAAAACAATAATCTTGTCGTTCCTCCTTTCATGAAACTTGATCAGAAACTGGCAAGCTCTGAACTTGTTGGGGTTCATGGTGTACAGCAAGATTCGTTTCTTAGTTTTGATTGCCACATATTCCCGGTAAAACTCAGGAGACATTGGGCACCAAACCTGGATGCAAATAAGAAAAAGGATCGGGCTGGGGATGTGGCTCAAGTGGTAATGCGCTTGCCTGGCATGCGTGGAGCGCTGGGTTCGATCCTCAGCACCACATAAAAATAAAATAAAGATGTTGTGTCCACCGAAAACTAAAAAATAAATATTAAAAAATTCTCTCTCTCTCTCTCAAAAAAAGAAAAAAGGTCATTTTGCAAGTTTAAACATCACATGATTGGAGACTCTGAAGCTCCTTTCATGTAGCAGAATTAGCTTTAAAATTCTTCAAAACAAAGCCAATGGTCATGAATTATACCTCAAAACAGCAGTCCTCCCTTATTGTGGTTTTGGTTACCCATGGTCAATGGGAGATTGAAAATATTAAATGGAAACTTTCAGAAATAAACAATCCACAAACTTTAACTTGCACACTGGTTCTGAGAAGCACAGTGAAATCTCACATGGACCTGTTCTACTCTGCCTAGGATGTGAATATCCTTTCCCCAGCCTATCCACACTATGTAACTACCTATTTGTTAATCATCTGGTAGACATTTCAGTTATCAGATTGATTGTCCCAATATTTCAGTGTTTGTATAAGTAACCCTTATTTTACTTAATAATGGCCGAAAGCACAAGAGTAGTGATGCTGACAATTTGGATGTGTCAAAGAGAAGCATGTAAAAAAGGTAAAAGTTCTCAATTTATTGGGAAAGAAAAAAAAATCACATGCTGATGTTTCTAAGAGCTGTGTTAAGTTCAAACCTTTTATCTGTGAAATTGTAAAAGCAAAGAAATTATTGTTGGTTTTGCTGTTACACCTTACACACTGTAAAATTTTCAGCCACAGTATATTAAGTGCTTAGCAAAGATGGAAAATGCATGAGGTTACAGGATTTGGTACTATATGAGGTTTCTGGCATCCACTGGGGGTCTTAGAAAAAATCTCCCAGGGATAAGGAGGGAATTACTGTATAGCTATAAATATATTCACAAAATTAAACAAAATCTAATACATAATGTTAAACTGGGACACTCTCATGTTCATCATTTAACAAAGATTTTTAAACACTATCATACCCAGGGAAATATTTTCATGCTATGTGCAAGTGAGGGAAACCAGATTTCCAACCATTGATGCTAGGAACCTCTCCATAGACCGAACCTCACACACAGTCAGCAATGCTCCTGAGAACTCCTCCCTTGCCCAATACCCTAGCAGGGCCAGGAGCACTTTAGTTAGACTCTCAGGGGTATGAGTACAAAACACTCTGCTGCCAAGCTACCATATCCTGTTGTGGTATCAGGGGCTTTCATTCATCCTTGTGCCTGCATCCTAAATCTCACTCAAAACTCCAAAGCTGGCAAGTTCAGAGGCTGATAAAAAATAATACTAATTTCAAATTCATGTGTTTGACAGAATAAGGAATAAAGCTCCCATAGCCAGTGCCACTTCTGTACAATCATGACAGACCAATTCTTTATGATGCCAGCCCTGCAGAATTAGGGGACAACATTATTAGCCGCCAACACCAAGTGGAGCTCAAATTCCACAGGTGCTGCTGATTTCCCTTTGGGCCACATCCTACCTGTGACTCTATGAATTTCTATTTTTTATAGCCAATGCAGTTCTTTTTCACAGTGTAATCTTTAACATTCTATATTTCACAAATCATGAAACACAAATGGCTCATGATATGTCATTAGTAAATAGGAAAATATAAATTCAATCCATAAAGGGATACCACTTCACACTTAACAGGTTAGCAAAAATCAAAAGAAAAAAATCATTATTCAGTGTTAAAGGAGATGTGAAGTATCAATCACTGCTGATTATTGCAACACCCACTTTGGGAAACAGCTGAGCATATTATGGTTTGGATGTGATCTCATGTGTTGAGGGCTTGGTCCCCAGTACAGCAATATTCAGAGGTGGAACTTTGGGGAAGTGATTGAATTATGAGGACTGTGACCTTATCAGTGGATTGATTAATCTACTGATTACTTAACTGGGTACTGGTGGAAACTATAAGCAGGAAACAATTTATTAGGAAAAATAAAGCATGGTTGGAGGAAGTAGGTCACTGGGGACGTGTCCTTTTTTCTCTCCTTGTCTCTTTCCTCCTATTCTCTCTTTATCTCTGTGTGTCTTCTTCCAGGTACCAAGAGTTTATTAGCTTCCTTCTACCATATCCTTCTGCCATGTTCTTCCTCAACTTAGTTCTACAACAATGGAAATGGTTGATCATGGACTTAAACTTCTGAAACTATGAACCAAAATAAATCTTTCTCCTTCAAGTTGTGTCTGGTATCTGGTTTCAGCAAGGAAAAGCTGACTAACACAACTAAGATACTGAACATTCAGAAACTTTCAGCCCAGAACATTCCTTCAAAGTATGTCTGTCAGGAAGGGGCTCACGGGGCACTTCCGCGCAGAGATAGAGTCTTTCTGGCCACAGGGTGCGGGTCTTTTTCCGAGGTGGGGTGCCGACCCGGGCCCCCAGCGATGTCGGTGGCCTTTGTACCTGACTGGATGAGGGGCAAGGCAGAAGTCAATCAAGAGACTATCCAGCAGCTCCTGGAGGAGAATGACCAGCTAATCCGCTGTATCGTGGAGTATCAGAACAAGGGTCGAGCGAATGAGTGTGTCCAGTACCAGCATGTGTTACATAGAAATCTCATTTATTTAGCTACCATCGCATATGCCAGCCCATCAAGTACTTCAAAAGCAATGGAATGATCTTTCAGTTGTAAGGAGTAATTGAATGTAATCCATCTCCTATAAAATGGAGACAGGATCTTTACCAACTCAACTGCTTAAAACATGCAACCTCCGATTCTTTTTAAAATGTGAAAATGTGAAGGAAGCTACTAGTTTAACTATATTCTCAATGTAAATATTTATTTTTAATAATTAATCAGATCCCCCAGAAGGTAGACCCCAGGTGTCCTCTTTCCTGAAATGGGAGTGTGTTTGGATAACAAAGACATCATGGGCATCTTCAAGACTACTCTTTAGTTTCAGCCTGAAGAGGAAACTGAGTAGGTGTTGGAGGATCAGCAGGAATTGCTGAGACTTCTGACTGAGCCTTTGCCAAATGGATTCAGTATCTGTGTGCTCCCATCCAGTTTGTAAATGTGTTCCCCCTGACCCCTCTTCTCTTCTTGGGTTACTTTGAAATAAAGCTTGCTTTTCCACAAAAGAACGATATGAAGGTATAGATATTTCCGTGTAGAGTGTTGTATTTGGTTCCCTCAAAAATTGTAAGGATTTAATAACCATAAGGTATGTAACAATACTACTGTTATATTACTACTGTTATGTGTTGCCAACAAAATTAATAGTGATTCTTTAGTATTATCTAGTATCATCTGATAATAAAAGATGTGTAATTTTCTTTATCTCAAAAAAAAAAAAAAAAAGGAAGGGGCTCACTATAAGGTCACAGTTCACACTGTGAATAGAGAAACTCTTACAGAGGGATTAGGAAATAGAAAAAAGAAAAAAAAAAGCGGCAACATTGTCAAATGACAAAAAAAAAAAAAATCTATTCTCCAAATTTAGACAGAAAATAATCTAGTGGTTGCCCAGCGCTAGGAGTAGGAGTTAGAGATACACTCTAAAAAGACACAAGGGGACTTTGTGAGGTGTTGGGATTTTTCTTAAAGTGGATTGTGAGGATAGGTACACAGCTCTTTACATTGCTAACATCATAGAATTGTACATTAACAATTATGAATTTTACGGGTGTATAAATTAAAACCCAAAAAAGCTGTTAAAAGAACAACTTAGCAACTCAAATATCTATCAATGTTAAAAAAAAAAAAAAAACTTTTTTTAATTGCTATGTAGTATTCTGTAATATATTAAACTGTGGTATATCTGTATAATGGAATACTACACAGTGATTCAAAGGAATGAACTACAGATATGTGCAGCATCAAAAAGGAATAAAGAATCATGTGAAGAATAAAAATGCTAAGACAAAAGTCACAGAGAAACATAATAACCCAATTCCACTGACATAATTTTTTAAATTAAATCAGGCAAACATATATTGAGGGAAATATATGTAGAAGGTAAAGTAATAAATGAAAGCAAGACAATAACAAATACAAGCTGCATGATAGTAGTCGGCACTGACAGGTAGAAAGGAAATGAAAATGGGAGGAACAGAAGACCTTGAAGGTCCCAGTACCTGTTCTTAGATGGTGGGGATTCCATAGACACAACTACAGGGTGAGGATTTTTTTCAACACAGCAAGAATCTTCACAGGTTACTCACACTTACCTTTATCCAGGAGACCACTTCTCACACTTTTAGGACAGAGACCACCCTACTCTACCACTGATCGACAGTCATTTTAAAGTACCAGAAAGGGGTTTTTTGGTTGTTGTTCCTTCTAAAAATATTTAGCTTTGAACATGGATTTTTAACACATACCTATGCAAGTATTCATTTGAGAAAAATATTGGGAAAATATGCTTTTTTAAATAAAAAATTATTAAGGCCACAATCTGTCTTCTTGGGGTTTTGACACTGGGAGTGGCCTCACTGATGGACCCCTCAGGGTAAAGGTAGGCAGAACACTTTAGGGACTCAGTCAGAAAAGGAGGATGCTCATGGAGTATAGATCCAGTGTCCTACATTAGTATCCTGACTTTACCAATTACTGACCACGTGACTGAGGACAAGGGATCCTGCTGCGTTCATTTGTGAAATGGGTTAACATGCCCACCCCACAGGGTGAATAAGGGTATTGCAATAGGTAGCAGCAGTTTAGCTCACGTCCTGACCTATGTATCTGCCATGAGGAATCAACCTGATCATGTCCCCCTGCCCACAGAAGGAGTCCTTCCCTCAGACACCCACCCAACCAGGCCCAGCTACCTCAGCACACTGGACTTTGGCGATGTAGCCATTGTTCTGCAGCTCCATCCAGTTGGCTTCATAGAGCTTGGGCCCAATCAGAAAATTTAAGTCCACAATTTTGTCATCTTCCCGGACAAGGGTTGCAGTCAAACCCAGCTTACAGTGGGCCTGCACGATGGTGAGCACCCTTCGGAACATCTTAGCTGGGGGAACAAGGAAAACATTCACACGATCACTTTCTAAACTGCTTAATTACCACATGCAGCTTTATGATGACTTAGCACCAGCCTTTGACACGACAGGGGCTCAGCTTCCCACCATCTTCCCAGAAACCACGGAGAAAACATAGCCTAAGACAGCAATGAAATCCCAGGCATCATTCTGCCCCAAGCATCAAGCACCTAGGGGTGACTGGGGCAGAAACTCCCCTTTCCAGACACCACCAATCAGATTAACTTTGGTCAACTAACAACTTATTTTTTCTTCCTTTGTTCTGAATGTTATAGTTCTTTCCCATCTATCAAATTCAAAAAGGGTATAGGGTATTCATTTTAAAAGCCTCAATTTATAGGTCTTCATGGGCTCAACTTTTAAAAAATTCTAGACAGAAGGTTGAATTGAATTGTGCTTACGGTACAACATAATTAAAGGTAGGGTTAGTGACATTTCAGAAATAAGTAAAAACAATAATCAGAGGAAAAAGAGACCAGAATGCACCAAAACACAATTGAAAAACAGGAACAGTGAAATAACACGGTTGTCAAACTCGAAGTTTTTGTTTCACACACTGAAGCTTAACATGGTGATCTTTTTACATGCAAGTCAACTTGGTCACTCTCTGCTCCATCCCTCACATGGCTTTCCATGTATTCAGGATGCAAGCCAAAGTCCCTGCTGTGACCTGACACCTCCATCTTGCCCTATCCTTGACTACCACTCTCTTCTTCCTCTAGTTGCACTGCCACCTTGTGTTGTCTGAACATGCCAAGTAACTTCTTACCACAGGGCCTGTGCCCTGATGCTTGCACCCCAAAGACATCTGGATTACTACCTGGTCTGCTGTGAACAGACCAAGTAGGGATCTTCAGACATCCACAGATGCTGGAGGAGCTTTCACTACACAAAAAGAAACAGATGCTCTGAACAATGTTCAAAAAGCAAAAAGAATAATGTTTGAATGCTCTATGTATGCTTCACATTTCACTTTATTAGAGTAATCTCAACTTTGGACTTAATTTATTTCTCAGGGCTCCCTGAAATCTGTTTTATAAAGAAAGGTTTAACTAGCCAGGCATGGTGGCGCAAACCATTTGCCGCCCCCCCC